TATATCATGTTTCATTTAACTTTTTAATCAAGGAACCTGAAGAACACGTGTAGCTGTGAACTCCTTTCGTCATCGTCATGACAACAGTATTTTGCTAATTGATCGTCAAGAAGTTTCCTGTTGTTCGTGACACATTTCTCCTCCGAGTCGTCTGAACACTGACCAAACGTTTCCTGTGCGTCCGCTTTGTTCCTCTGGTCCAGTTAATCCCCCGGCCTGTCACGGAGGGACGACCGTGGAAGATGGATTCTCTGCTCGTCCACTCGCCACAGCTCTTCGTTTACAGAGCAGAGAGCAGCATCCTCCCGTCCTCCTCTCCTGCTCAGGCCTCTAATCCAGCAGGAATGAATAGAGAGATTAAAAAGCGGAAGATGAGACATGATGGAAAAGGGTCAGAGGATGTGGGCAGGTGCAGAGACAGCGGGGGGACCACGCTGAGTGCAACACCTGCTGTTTATCCTTCGAATTGAGCCACTTAACGTTTTCCCTGCGTCGTTAGAGAAGCTGCACATCTTCTGTTTGTCAGACATCTTCAAACATCGCTGACCGTCGTCCATTAACCGTGTGAGAGAAACAGAAAACAACCAAAGCAACGTAGAGTGAGTGAAGCTGAAAGTCTGTTTGTAACCGAACCAACGTCAGAATCCAATCACGATATTTTTCCCTTCAGGCCTCGAATCCTCAACGAGCTCGTGAAGAGACCGACACGTTTCCATCGTGTTCCAGATGCATACGAACAAATACACACGGCCAGGTACTAATACTTCACTGAAGTTCAGATTACTTCATACTTCACTGCTTTTTAATTATTGGAAATGTCCCACTGTTTAGCAACATTAGCTCCACTTTGATTAGTTAGATGAGAATTAAACTTAAACACATTAGCGAACATAGCCTCTTGTTTTTCTGCTGATTATTTTTAATGCATCATTAAACATCATCATAGTCTGACAGCTGACATCACTGCTGCTCATAATCAGTTGAGACTTCAGGGTTTTATAAAGCTGGTGTTTGCTATTTTAACACCAGGAGCAACAGAAAAGTAAGTAAATGTCCGTGATGTTTGTGGCTCTGATGGTTTTGGGATCCCCCTCCCTCTGATTGCAGACGGAGTCTCGATGCTCAGGATCCACGGAGGAGTTAAATCACCCGAGTCCGAGCAGAGCAGCTGACAGCGGTGATGGTTTTACGTCTCCTCCATGCAGACGCTCAGCCCGAGAGGCTTGAACTCGAGCCACGGGAGATTCTCTGAAACACAGAGTCTCCATCAAACATCTTCCAAGTAAACACTGCTAGAGGAATTTTCTCTTCACAGAACAACTTGACTGTAGTTCAGGTGGACGCTCACCAACATGTAATAGCCGACTTGGCGTCTCACCGGCTTATTCATTCATCACCTATCAGCTGCAGATGATGGATCTTATTTTCCCTTCGTGGCTGGAGTGAATTCAGCCCAGTTCCTGAACACAGTGTTCTAAGTATCACACTTATCATTTTATTGCTTTTCTTTCTTCTCAGTATTTGTTCTACTCGGAATTCTGATTGTAAGTATCGCTCGGGCCCGATTCGATTTGAAGTGTGAACTATGGAGAAAATAAAATAACCTCTGAAGAAGAGAAGCCGCAAAACACGACCAGGAGCTCAGCTGCAGCTTGAACGTAGAAGACTCAGACTTTACACGAAGCTGGACGACAGAAGAGAAGCCATCCTGATGGACCCCTGGTGGCTGGCTGCAGTATAGGTCGTTAACCCAGCATCCTCCATGTTAGCAGACGGGACATCTACTCCACAATCACCTCTGTGACATTTAAAGCACGAGAGGGCAGCTCAGGGAAACATGAGAGACGTCCATATTAATCTACAGTCCATGAGACAACCTGAGGACAGCGTGGTTCAGCTCAAGACATTTATTGGGCGACATGAAACTGCGATGACCTCGTCTACGACCATTTCAAGAATAATTTATCATTCCTGCTTAAACAACAAATCTTTCCTGCAACACACCGGTTCTCCGGCCGACCAGAGCCTCGCTTCACCAAGAACGAAACGAAAATAACACTTTTACAAAAATCATTTTAATCAGTTTTAAGTAAAAAAAAAGAAAACGTGAGAACAGGACACGAGAAAACCAACGTTTCCTGTAACTTTCACATTAATCACTGAAATAATAATAATAATACAAAAGGATAAAATTAATCTCCAGAAAGTTAAAATTTGGCTCATTGTTTATTTATTTACATTCTGACACAGTTTATATTCAGGACTCCTCTGATCCGAAGCTGTTTCTGCACGTGAGGAGGCGACTGAAGGGAAACAGCAACAACAGATGAGCTCAAACTCTCCACAGTTGTATTTAGAACATTCTTGACAACACTCTTCAAATCTTTATTTGATAAAAGCACGAGGGGGCTGTTGTAGATTTTCAATTCAACGATCCACTGGATGTGTTTCTCAGATCTAAAAAGATTGAACAGTTGAGTAACGACTTTTATGACAGAGTGAATAACTGTATTTTGATTCATTTGAGTACAGACGTCCCCGTAACGTCCTCGAGCAGCTGACACAGCAAATCTCTCCCCGTTGGAAGAGTCTACAAACTCTGACGACGTGTCAGTCGCAATTCAAGAAGCCTCAGGATTCAGGCTGAACTCTGCATGAGAGCATCACGTGACTTTCCTGTGTGTGTGTGTATGTGTGTGTGTGTGTGTGCAGACTTGCTTACATCAGGGTTCTGTGAGCAGGGACGTCTCGGGACAAGAGCTGTTGCTGCCAGCACAACTGAAATTATTTAAAGATGCAGATCCCTGACGTCTTGACGGTGTGTGTGTGTGTGTGTGTGTGTGTGTGTGTGTGTGTGTGTGTGTGTGTGTGAAAGCGTTTGTCTCCTGTGTGTGTTTGATTTAAAGATGACGAGGTGTGTGGCAACGCAGAGGACAAGAAAGGGTGAAGACAGAACTACGTGCAGGTGAAAACAAATGTCTCCCCGCAGTGACAGGTTATAATCTGGTACCAGAGCAATGAGGTCTGCTACAGCACGACCTCGATGAAGCGGACCCAGCGGTCGAGTCGTCCCACTTGTGAATCGTGAAGAAAAGTGAAGAAAAGTGACACCAACTGTGCAAATAAAAGAAAATAATAATTTAGTGGAAAAAAAAATCTCATTTTAACAAACAGGCACGAAAGATTTTCAGCTCTATCGGCAAAGAAAAACTAAAAATCAACTCATTTTACTTTGTTTCATAAAGTGAAAGTGAGAATGGACAGAAAACTGCGGTTCCCTTCCTTGTTAGCTTGAGTTACACCAAACACTGAACGTTACCTGAAAACCATCCAGCATTTCACCACAACAGACTGTTTACTCTGAGAGACAACAACGCAGTGAAATAGGAGAATATCTCATGGAGTCCAGGCCGAGACGTCAAGGCTCACGATGCTTCTCGCTGCAGAAGAGATGTTTTCCCACCGAAACCCTTTGTGACTTTAGTTTTTATCTATAAAGTTTCAAAGTATATTATAAACTGCATCAAGTCTATGAAGTGCAGTCCTGCACTGGATCGTTTGAAGGTGGCTGAAGGTATTAAACGGACTGACTGACTGTTCTGAGTTGTAAACAGAAGCACGTGAGAAACGATAAGATAAAGAAAAGTCAACTGTGTTTCAGTGATGCAGATGTCAGCGGAACTTCATTAACATCTGCACGGATTTAAAATTTAGAGAGCAATTCAATTTTGTTTTAGGAAAGATCCTGACGTGCTCTCCTGTCAAGCATCGGATCAGAAGAGGGATAACCAACGCTCATATCTGTGCAATTAGAGAAAAGAAGCTCGTGTGGCTCGTGAACTAATGCACCGTGTCCTGTTTGTGTTAAAACAAAAACTACAGTTGATTATGATGATCGACTAAACTGTTGCTTCATATTTAATCCAAACATATGAGGCTGGTATCGCTCTTCATCAGAAAATGTTTAACTTTTCCTTGAATTTGCTAGATGGATAAATACCAGTTGGATGAATGTGTACTTCTAGTTAATTGTTCCTTTCTGTCTTTCGGAGTTTTCCAGAGTTGGACCACAGGAAGGATTGTTATTACGATGTCGTACCCCAATGTCCGATTACGTGAAACGCAGCATTAGTCTTTATTTCATCCAGAGTTTCTGCAGGTTCGGGATGGAACATCCAGGCGTCACCTCCAGCATTTGGGGAAAAAATAAAGTCAGACAGAGACACTGGTGAGATTCTGTGATTCGACTGCACAATGTGAGAAACTGTCAGTCGTGACACGACGCTTCATATTCAGGGATGTTTGAGGAAACTGCTGAATAGGAACCTTCGGCGTAAGGCATAATCCAAAAACCATACCAGATCCCGAAATAGTCTGTGGTGAGTGAGAATGACCGTTTACCGGGCCAGAAGCTTCTGAACGTGGCCTGCAACTGTTCATTTTGTCCTTTTTCAGCAGGGACGGAACAAAAGGAGAGTCCCCCCCCCCCCCCCTCCCCCCTCGTGCCTCAGGGCCCTGACGAGGAGGTGAGGAGGTCAGGCCACACCGGCCACACCGATGTCCACGAATGTCTCCCGGCTTCCATTGGACCGTCACCACATCAGCCCCGCGGCAGAGAGGTCCGGCCGGTCGCCTGTCACAGACTGGAGGAGCTGGAGGGATGGTAGGGTCCATTCACCTGAGACGAAGGAGACGAGACGAGTCAGCAGATAAAGATCACAGCAGGTAAAGTTCAGGCGCTCAACAAAAACCGTCTCAAGTTGACCGACACATTCCTGGCGTCAGGGTCTGGCTCCTGTTTTAAGTCTCAAATCAACAGAACAGTATCAGAACAGAAGCTGAGGTCACTGCGTGGACACAAAGACACAGTAATTAAAGATGTGGCATCACCACAGCATCACATTCACCGACGTTCTGCTCTCAGATCATCTTGTTTATCACCATCAGTGTTTTTATTCACTGTGACTGAGCGGCTGTCAGTACAACTGTTCGACATTAAAAGCCCGACGGGACGGGAGGATGTTGCTGGAAGACTTTTATTGTGAAAACACTGATGCAGGAGGAGCTTCGGTGACAATTTACTGCACTTGAACAAACGGCTGGTCACAACTGGCGTTAATCAAATGAGGAGAAATGGAGGGAAGTTACCAAGCGATGAGAGTGTCACACTTTAAATTTAGTAATTAATAAAGTCAAAGAATATTTGGATCAGAGAGCGTCTCTGTCAAACATGAGACACATGTCTCCTGGTTCTGGTTTGCAGTGAAGTTCATGGAAAAATTCTGAGTTAATCATCCAGCGTTTTTAAATTGCAAAATGTGCCTTCCTGCTGTTTGGTGCCAAACAAGGAGCATGTTTGTGAGCGTGTCTGTTACTGGACCCTAAAGTTTGATGTCTGAAACTTTATATGAGGAGAAAGGAAGCTGCAGATTCACACGCCAGCGCTCTGTAAGTTCATTACTATTTAAGGTTGTTAATTCTGTCCTTGAAGAATAATGTTCGACTCTGATCCGAGCCCTCAGCTCGAGTGTAAAATGGTGTGTGTGCTGTGAGTTGCTCCTCCTGTCAGGCCACAGTTTAGTGAACAGAAAGAATCTCTATTTCCTGGACTCTGCTCACACTGTGATTGAGTCCAGCACACCAGAATATTTCTGGATAACAGAAACTAGAAAAAGGTGTTGATGCGAACGTTACTGCACAATTTCTTGCCGGGGCCGAGGTGCTGACGGGGGGAAACATCCCATCCCACAGCCTCAAAGCCAATATGTTCACACACAGTCACAGAGCTGAGGTTGACCTAGAATAAGTTCCTGATGAGTCAGTAGAATCTGGGACATACAAGCAGCACCTGAAAACAAACGTTACGTGTTGTCAATGCAGGGATGAAGAATTAAAACCACATTCAGCTGTGAATATTTTCCCGTGCTGTTCTGTTTCCCCCCCCCGAACTCCCTCTCTTGTTTGTTTAAAAATCCGTCTCCTCAGTCGCGTCCCCACACGATCAACAGAGACACTGTATGTTATCACTACCTCATGTCCATCTGCTGTGTTGTTTGACAAAAATGCGTAAATCAAACCAGAATCCAATTTTAAGTTTATTTCCCATCTGCTGCATTATCCCGCCCCCCCCAAAAAAAGATTTAGGGGATGAAGAGTTCTTCCATATAAAAAAGCTGCAGTGCGTCGTCACCCTGAAGCTAAGTCACAATGCCAGAGTGACAGAGATCCGATATGTGGATTAGCAAATTGGTTTTCCAAAAATATTGTTTGTTCATGTGCAAAAGACTAAACCCGATTAATTTAAAAGAGCCTGGTACAAAACTGTGGCTGTGAGTAATTTACTCCGTGGACTTGGTTCCAACAGTGCCGCTCTCACTATTTATGAACTCCCCTGACATCTTGAATACATGAAAATTATATCAAAATGATTTAAGTGGAGCTGGTATAAATCCACACCGAAGAATCTGACGTACAAAATGAGGTAAATGATACGGTTCAACCGTAACGCTCCGTTCTCCTCCGAGATTCAATGAGGGAAAAGACACATGTATATAATTTATCAGCCAACACAAACTACAAACCACCACAAAGTGATAAAACAGACTCAGATGGCAGCCAGTCACAGATCATGAGGAAGCTTAGGAGCTGGACATTGTTCCTGTCACGGTCCACGTCTGGTGGTCCGAACCAAAGCCTGTGTGTAAAGACGGATGACATGGTGGCTGGCTGACGTATCGCTCATAAACCCAGTTCAACAATTTTTCTCAATGATGGTTTCCGTCACTGTAGATAGTTCCTGTCACACTGATGTACGTGGTCTGGTTGTTTGGCTTTGATTAGTTATTTGAAAAACACGCGGCTCCACGCCACGATCAGTACCGAGCAAGTTCAACAAACTTCAAGGAGAAATCAACGAGGGGACCATCCTTCACTTTAACGAAGTCTGAACTGATTCCTGTCATTCACATGAACGCACACATTCTCACAAGTCATTAGCTGATTGTTGCCCTTTCTGTGATTTACATCAGGAACACAGGAAAGAGAAGTCAAACTGAGATAAACAGACCTGCTCTAACTCAGATTTCCCGTCTTCAAAAAGATTTAATGAACGAAGAACAAACGCAAACACACTGAAGTGTTTGTACACAAAGATCAGAGGGAGATTCGATTCCCATTAAAACACAAAAAGCCGGACGGCAGATTTGAAGCTGCACAGGATGCACCTGCAAATGGAAGAGCGATGAAATGTAAAAAAAGAAGAGGCTGCGCACACAAACGCTCAGATGTGTCCGAGGATTTAGTGAAACAAGACGTTTATGTTACATGTATGTGGCTGAACTCTTTCCTCGTAAAACTTCTACCTGCAGTGATTCATCCTCGGCCCTGCCCACCGTCGATCCGCTTCTAAGATCACAGGATGAGATGTGCACGTTTATAGAAGATTATAAAACCCTCAGAATTCAAATACATGGAAACGATTCGCCTGGAGGTGAAGGATGAAGTAAATCCAGGGAAAGTTGAGGGGTTGGAAAATCTCTTTATCTCTGTCCTGCGTGTGTGTGTGTGTGTGTGATGGTGCGTACCCGTGCGTCATACTCCAGGACAAACGGAGGAATGTCGAGCTGTTCCGGTTTGATGCAGGTGAAGAGCTGCTGCAGGTTGTCCAGGTAGCGGACTCTGTCCTTCAGCCCCGACACACTGAAGGTGGTGAAGAACCACGTTGAGACCTGGTTGTAAAAAAAAAAAAAAAACAAAGTCAGAAAGAGAGAAGAGAATAACAACTCACTCGGTTATAGCTGGACATTAATCTCTGTAAAAACTGATGATGACCTTACCTTAGAGCGAAATGTTGGATGTACGAAGTAGAAGGCCTTTAAATTCTTTTTAAACCTGCAACACATAAAAGAACAACAGCTCAGCGACCATCACTACGAGCAGGGGTTGTGTGAAGTTTGAGCAAAGTGTTTTTTCTCTCGTCTGTTAAACTATGATGCTGCTGCTAATGCTAAAGTTTTTACCAGCAGCAGTCACAGGTCACGTCGTCAATTCTGTGCAGAAAACACGTGAATACGTTTGACTCTCTGGTTCAAACATGGATGTGAGCTTGTCCCTGAGGGACAGACCAAACAGTTTAGGAAAGTCGTGTTAGTCATTTGTCTCCATGATCTCATTCCCTGAGCTCATGACCAGAGGTGAGAGGAGTCAAGTTTGTAAACTGAGCTTCATCTTCAAACCAAGATCTTTTCACCACAACAGCCTGGTTCAACGCAGCCACCAGTCTGTCAACGTCACGCATTTCATGTCCCTGAGACACTTCAGCTCGTGAGGCAGAGCCCGACTCCCAACCAGGAGGGACACATCCCTCATTACCTTGAAATCTCATCTCACCTACTTTAACCTCAGCTGCACAGCGCCCCTGCTGGAGGGGTCAAGCCAATGGAGCAACTAGAATGAGCGCCCCGCTGTTGTGTGTCCCTGCACAGCGACCTTGACCTTAGTCAAACTGAATTTCTAGCCCCCGAGAGTCAGAGTCCCCGACTGTGACGGCTCAGAAATACACAGAGTACTGTGATTACTTCAATTCATGGCAGGACACTGACAATAACTTGCCACATTTGCGACAGATTGTTTTGTCGAGCCCTTCGCATATACAAAGTGGTGGTCTGGCTGGGGTGCACAGCATTGTGGTCATGTAACACATCGCAGTCGGCCAGGAGAGGGAGGAACTTGGTCTTTTCATTGACAAACCAACTCCGAGGGGATTCAGGAGAAGTAAAACATGACGTGGGACAGTCTTCACTCGTCCAGCGCTGGACAAAGAGAGGACAAAAAAAAATAATAATCGAGCTCAAAATCTCATCCGTCTACAGGAGAAATAATCAATCCACCCACTTAGCCAGACATTTTTGGAAACTTTTGTTATGTTCATGTTTGGCTTTGGTCTGCTGGTGGTTTGTCTGGAGCCAAAATGCATCTGCAGGCAATCAATAGCTTGATGGGATGAACAAGCTGTACACGCCAGGCCTGGGTTAGTGGTTCCATCGCCTGCACAGATCCACAGTGCCACGCCAAGTCAAAAGCACAATGACTGCTTAAGAAGTGAAACTGTGAAAAAAAAAAAAGCTTTGCAATTAGTCACATGTCCCAAACACAAGAGTTGGACCACGAACGGAAACCGTGCGCCTTGAACACCAGAAGGAGCAGAGAGGTTTGATTCTCAATGCTGATTCTGTACAATGATGGTTAATGTGGAATAAACAGGAAAAAGATGCTCAACGAAACACATGAGCTGCCGATCGTAAGCGACCAGTGATCAAAATGGCGCTCAGGACTCTGAGCTCTGACGAGGCCCAACAGTCCCATTAAACCCAATCAAGCTGCAGCACATTGCAGAATTACGCCAGATTTGTCCCATCGAGCTCGATCAACTAGTCTCTGGGATGTTGGTGGAAATGTCAATTAAAAGAACGTAATCATGCAAAGTTCAAGGAAAGTTACAAAAACCTGGAGCAGACGTCCAAGTCACAACTTCCCCTTCAGCTTTACAACATTTCATTCAGCTGTCAAACCATTTCTAGTCCAACCTCTCCTCATAAGGTCCGATGAGTCAGAGCTAAAACCTTGAGAGTGGAACTAATGATATTACAATAACTTTGGCAGGTTAAGGTAATTATCACCGTGCTCCGTGTATTACAGCTGTCACAATCATTACACGACTGAACGGGGTTTCCCAGTAGCAAAGAAGGAGGAAGTGGTGGAACGGCGTCTTCATACTTATCATCTTCTTGTTTGACTACTGTAATTCATCAGTGTGTGTTGTCGAAGAGCAGGCAGATGATTTTCACAGCCTGTGGGCGAATTATTTTATCTGGAATTGAGGAAACGCAACATGCTGTTTGAACTTTCCCAGACGAACGGAGTTTCAAGAGTAAGTTGTGGTGAAACTAACTGAATGACCATTCACAAAAATAGTTGAAAGGTGCGTAACGGCAGCATGGAGTTCCCCACTCACACAGGAAGTTTGTATGGTTGTTGCTGGAAATAAGAATCTGCCTTTTTTTTTTTTTAAATGCAGTCTATGGTTGTAACTCACTCACGCATTCTCATCTCATTAGTAGGCCTGATCTGTGGGCTTGAAGCAGTGTGATCATCTGACTGTTTGTGTTTCTTGTTCCACTGGACTTCTAAAAACCAGGATGCCATTTTTCCATGACGGCACTTTTACTGCAAATACTTGACGCATCATTTAATCCAAACTTTCAAACTTTCATAGAACTGTTTCACATCTTTGGTACTTTTCACAAGTCGGTTCAAACAAAGCTGAGCCGCACTCAGTATTAAAATAAAGCAACAATCACGGAGTCTTAATGGTTGAACAGCTTAAATATTACTTCAGATGACACAGAACCGTGATGCTGTGTGGAACGGTAAGAAACTCTGGTTTTCATTTGCAAGATGTGGCTCCTATTTAGCTTGACGAAAAATATTCTGCTATGGAGATCGTCAGCAGGCTGCAGACAAAGAGATGCAGTGTTAGGTTATTGATGCCGGACACAGCGCCCGACTCCATGCGGAGAGTATTTGATGTGAAAATGCAGCATATGCAAAAAACGCCAGTCTATTCAGAATCTATAATAAAACCTGACGTCTTTCAAACTTCGATCCACGTTGGACGTCTGGACGGCATCTGTCTGGTGTTCAGTGACGAAATCATCCACATCTTTCAGAGAGGCAGGTTTATCTTTTTAAATGTGTGACAATGGGTCAATCCTGTATTTATAAAGAATAAAATCAGTTTATCAGAGGTGAAGATTTAATTTGTAGTTTGTAAAAGTGAGATATTCCATTGGTTTCTTTGTTGTATGGAGCCTCTCTATGTAAAGATATCATGAAATCTGCCACTGAGGTAGCATTCATCAGCTTTAACACCTCCGCAAACTAATATAAAAATACACAAGTGACTCCAGTGGTTAAAGGCCTCGCTTCAGAGCAACGACCGAAACTTTCAACCCTCTGATAAGGATGAGTCACAGTCAATACATCACCCCCGAGAACTCGCTCCAAGTTTAGGTCTCCTGTTCCAAATATGTCCGGCAGATTTTCCAAAAACCCAAAATGAAACAAAAGCGCTTCACAGCTTATTTGGCTTTTCCAAAAAATCTCAACGCTGTATCCTTGGCGGTGTCACACTGTAGCATGAGCAACGTATCTGAACCTCAGCGCACTTGCAGAAGTCAGCACAGACAAAAGGAGAAGCAAGCGAGAGCCAAGCGAAGTCCCAAACCAGGGTCAAACCAGAGTCAAGCCGCAAAGATGATCACATCCAGCTATGGATATGACACCCTCGGGGGGGGGGGGGCAATTCTCACTTTGCATTTTTACTTTTTAATGAAATTCTGCAGCGGGCGGGATTTAACGTCCCATTACAAAAAACACAGAAGGTGACAAAATACCAGTGGAGGAATTTTCAAAAACTTTTTCAGAAAAACCAACACGAGCTCCATCAGCGTGTGACAGAGGGATGAGACCAAACAGAAAGAAGAAAGAATAAAACAAGGGAGCTAAGCTAATGTCTCTCCCATTAACCTCCCGTTTGACCTCGGAGTGAATACATTCACGTCCTGACTTTCAGAACGAGGAGTCCAACAAGTGGAAAATCCTGGTTCAAAATGTTGCACATCAATGAAATAGAACACATCCCACCCAGCATGCATTGGGTGTGAGGTTTAGATTATGCTCGTTCGACTTTATGACCAATTCACACGGCGTGAAACTGGCTCGGTTTAACAGCCGAGCGTAAAATGTCAGACTGACTTGGCATCGACGATGTCGTAGAGGTTTTTGAGGAAGTCGGAGTTGAGGTGGTTGTGCTCGCCCGTCAGCGTGTGGAAGTAAACCATCACGTACTCCTTCACCGTGACGTGGTCCATCACATGGATGAAGTACAGCAGAGCCTGCACACACACACACACACACACACACATGAATCAGCCTTCACACACGTCGATCGTCCTGGATTCAGTTTTCTGTTTATTCTTTTACAGTTTTACATCTTCTTTGAATTTCAGTTAACTATGACTCATCCATGTTTCTTTTATACATAAGCTCAGTTTTATTGTTTGCGTTGGTGCAAGTTTTAGTGTTTGCAGTTGGCGGTGGTCTAAGAAAGTAGAAATAGGACAGAAACAGATATTCTTTAGTCAATAGTGTTTTAAATGTATGTGTCCCAATTTTATTCAGTAAAAAAACACGCACTAGTTAGGATTTCAATTTATATAGAGATGAAAATGAGTTCACAGGCACAAAGCAAAGTCTGACGGATAACTTTTTCACTTTCATACCTTTTCAAGGTCAATGACGGTCACCGGGATGTTTCGTCCGACGACAACCACGACTGTCCTGCCGCACATGTCCACACCTGGAGACAAAGTTCACACGGACAGAAACGTGGACAGAAGACTGATGATCAGATAAGTAACTCTAGAGCTTCTCAACAATCATTCATTGCCGATTTGTTCCTGCGCTAAAATCTGTGTCTGACTTTGACGTCGTCTTCACCGGAGTTTTTGTTCATGTGGTTTCTATTCTTGTCCTGCTCGGCCGTGGTACCGCTCCTCACGTCTTAGTGTAATATTGTTTTTGTTTAATCCCCACAACTCAATGCATATCTGTTATTTCTACTTGGTGGCTCTGAAACTGGAGCAAATGGGAACATCTGCATGTGCAACACTACTTCCACTGCAATGACAAAATGTCAGAGCTCATCAATATCACTATCCCAGAATATTCATAATAGCTGTGTGAACTTAACGACCTGTGAACCCCTCCACTGACAGACAGCAGCCTGGAGCTCATTCTGTCCCTCTCGTCCCCACTGAAGAGGAGACAACACCAGTTTGGAAAAACAGTGGTCAGCTTCGCCCTGTGAGAAATTCTTCTTTTAATTGGTAATCTGTGTCCAATGTCCCCACGTTACTGTTTTCTATCCGTAATTTATTCTTCTCTCATTTCTGTCCTGTCACCGTGACCGTGAGAGACAAACAAAAAGAAACAATTGAATGAGGAACAATAAGTGTAGTCCCTTTCCTCAAACATCAGGTTTGTGTTATTAAGTTTCATCTCTGAGTTAAATGGGTTTTACAAAGTCATGGAAGCTTTCAAACATCATGTGAAAGGTCAAGGGTCAGATATCATTGGGGTTGAACTGAATAACAACACTGCCGCCTAATGGTGATGACATTCAACTGCACTTTATAACAGTTTTGGCTTCTAACAACTATTTTTTTTTTTTTTTTTACGTATCCTGCAAAGACCCCCCCCCCTCGCACACACAGACACACACACATGCACAGACACACATGCACACACTGTGTTCTGTAAAAGTCCCTTTGTTCCTTTATTCTCTTTTATATTTAGATTACAGGGGTGTGAAACAAGGATCTAATCTAACTTCCCTCTCACCCACTGTCCACAACACTCACTCTCTCTCACACACACACACACACACACACACACACA